AGCGGCGGGGGCGGGCGGCGCGGTGCTCCCGCGGGCGCGGAGCGGGGCCCAGCCCCGGCGGAGGGAAGGCAGCAACCACCATTAAGGAGGAGGCTGCGGAGCCGGAGCCGGGGCGCAGAGGAGCCCTTTCATAATTAATAAGGCAGCTCAGCCGAAGGAGCAAGGGGAAGGGGGGACGGGGTATTGATTTCGCAGCAGAAGCTGCTCTAACCTCGGCTATTTATAGACGCCTGATGCCTTTATAAAGAAATACACATCAAAGAGTAAAGACGTCCTTTTTACTTATAAGAGGAGAGCCCAGCTGGCGGTCGGGGGTGGGTGGGTGGGTGAGTGGGTGATGGGGAGGTAAGGACCACGAATTGGTGCGAGGTGATTTATTCCGCTGGGGAGCCGCTGCCTGTGAGATAGCTCTCCTTTGCCAATGTGTAGGGTGGCAGAGTCTCTCCTTCGCCCCCTCTCCCTGCTCCCTCCTTTCCCAAGGTCCGCAATGTAATGTGTAAGCAATAGCAAATGTAACAGTTCATAAATCAAACAGTGGGTCGCAAGCCAATCTGCATTTCCCAAACGGATTGAATCCCAGCAACGAATGTGCTCAGGAACTGGAGCCAGGCGCCTTTACCACTGGAAGCAATGTTGATTTTTTAATGATAAAATACATTATGCGTGTGTTGGGGGGAGCTTTGCAGAGAGAGCTCAGCCTCGCTTCGGCAGACACAGGTCTGGTTGAATTTCGTTTTACTTTGGCCTCCCTCTAGACTCGATCCCCACCATCACCAAAGAAAAAGGAAAACCCTGGAGAGCAGAGCTTTGTTTAAATTATTTGGGTTATTTTCCCTCCCCACAGAGGATTTAGACCTAAATTGATTTTTGCGTGCACATCTCTGTATTCATGAGGTCAGGCGCTGCTGTTATGGTTTCCCGTAGCGCGAAATGCCAGATTCCGAGGAGAGAGGGGAGAGGGAGCCCTTGCTGGGGTGCGAGGGGCTCTGCAGCCTGCTGTCTGAGCCGGCTGGGCCCCGGGGAACCCCCGCCGGAGGCCGGCAAGGCGCCCCGCTCCGCCCCGGGGTATCCGGGCGCCGGTCCCGCCCGCTGCCGGCATCCCCCGGCTCGGTGTCGGGTGTGCTCCCGCCGCCGTCCCCGCCTTCCCGGAGGCTGGACGGTGCCAGTCCGTGGGAGGACGATGGAAGGGGGCCTACCAGCTTTCCCTCATCCCACAGAAGAAAGATAAAACGTCCTAATAAGGGGGTGGTTTCCAGCTCATTAGCGGACTCGAGTTATCTTCGTGTGAAGTTCAATTACTAATGAATAATCTCTCCGTAATTAGCACATCCCCCAATTAACCCTCCGCTGAGGAGAATAATAAACGGTGGCAAACCAGTGAAAAACAGCCGAGCGGGTGGGGAGGGTGCCCGGTGGTCGTTCCCGGGCCCCTTTCCTCCCCACTGTCTCCCCCTGCATCTCCTGTTTGGGACTAATAATTGTCGGGCGCTCACCCCCGGGGCCCAGGCCGGGCCTGCCGGGCTGGCCGGGATGCACTAACCTGCATTGCACCCCGGGATTTCCAGCAGGGACGGCAGCAAACCCCGGTCCAGCCGGCTCAGCTCCCCCCGGACAAACTGGCGAGCGAGGCTCTTCCCGCCGGCAGCTCCATGCTTTTTTCGGGGGGCACGAACAACCAAAAAACTCCCCCTTCCTTTCCTCCTGTTCATTTCTTAAGAGCCCCTCAATGCGCAGGGCATTGGTTGTTCCCTTTTCTGCTCTTTTCAGGGGCCGTTTCTGGAGCCTGAGTGCAATGGTCGATTTTACGTATTTAATTTTCTGGACCACAGGGATGGATGCTTGCTCTGCCTTGCCATGTTGTGTGGCCAAGGAAACACGAGCCCTCCGCCAAGTCCCAGAAAGGGACTGAGTGTACTGGGCTTGCCTCCTGCCGCCTTGCACCTGTGGGGTTTGTAGAGGCTACGGGAAAGGCTGGGCTGTCTCTTGCCAGGCTGGTCCCACTGCCCCAGGCAGCGGCTGCTGCAGAAAGAGCTGGAAGAGGCTCAAACCTCTAACATCCCTTCTTAACTCCCGGGCAAACGTGAGCTGGTGAACTGCAGAGGGGAAAAACGCAACAGAAAAGCTTTCAAACCTCGACAGTGACCACAGTAAAATTATCCCCTGCTTAAAAGAAAATGCGCACACACGCACGCATAAAGGAGGGGGGAAAAAAAAAAAAAAAGAAAAAAAAAGAAAAAACCCCCAAACAACAAAAAACATAAATGCAGATCAACAGGGGAAAAACCCGCAGCTGAAACAAAAGACAAGCCAGTGCATTTCTAGCTGGCTGGATAATCAGGAAGGGCTGCAGCCATTGCGGCTCTGCCTGCCCTAATTCCTATCCCCAGCTCCGACTGAGCAACCGCAGCCCCGCAGTCCCCGGAGGGCTGCAGAGCGCTGGCTCCTTCTTCCCCGGCAGCGCTGGATGCACCCGTGCCTGGCCTGCGGCTGCTCTCCTGCTGCCTCCCTCCCCCTTTTAGCAGCCTGGCTGAGCCCTGCAGGGAGGACTGCACCTTACCCCGGGTCGGGCTGAGCTGGTGGCGGTCGATTATTTTTGCTTTAAGGAGAAAAAAAAAGAAAGGCCTTTTTGCCATCTGTTCAAAGGCTGTAACAGGGAGATGGAGTGGGCCTGTGCTGGGAGCAAAAGCTTGAGCCAGGACACACAAAACTGAGGAAAAATCTGTCTGAATGGTAGTGAGAGCAAATTGGTTGGTGCTTAGGGAGGCACGGTATGAAAGTAAGGTATCCATTTCTGACAGGGCTTTTTGGTGGCTATATCTACATCTCTTGATGTACATCTCATGAATGGATCGGTGGCTCTTCCAACCTTCTTCCTCTCCAGGATCCTTTTAAAATCTGTGCAGTTGTTGTCCTGCCCAGTGAAACCCACTAAGTTCTGTGAAGGCCTGACAACCTAAGGAGAGAGAGAACAGTTCAGCCTTTCTATTCATCAAGATGATTCATTAATGATTAGTGCCATTAGGTGGATTACAGTAGTGCCTGAGGACCCCAATTAAAGGAAAAGTGAGCTTGTTAAATCCAGAAAGCCAGATTCTCCCTCTGATACTCCTGCCTGATGCAGAGGTGGTGCCTCCAGGGTGGGCAGCAGGAATAGCCCTGGCTTTCTGTGTGAGCAGCCTCTGTGCCTTCCCCCCTCCCTCCTCCACCTTTTCCCTCTCCCCTGCCCTAGTTGCAGATCCTGCATACAGGGTGCTGCAGACCAAGACTGTTGCAGGAGTTGGCTGGCAGGACTTGCAGGAGGAGGTGTCAAATTGGCTTATTCTTCTGAGCCACTTCATTCTTCATCATGAGTGGGTTTGGGTGGGCTTTTTTTGGTTTAGGTTTTGGGTTTTTTTGGGCAGGGTTGAGAGCAGGCAAAGTGGTGGGGATTGCAGAGGAGTCTTATGAAACCAGATGCAATTTTAGATGTCTGAAAGAGTTTCTTCAGGCTAAAGGCAGCTGAAGATCAATTGCACTGTTGGCAAATGTGCTTCCAGCTGGCTGGTGCCTCTCTTGAGGGACAATTTCATCCCAGGGCCCATTGCAATGGTAGTACAGGAAGGGGCTTTCATTTGCTTTGGGCTAAGGACTTTCTGCTGCCCAGTTCCACCAGTGAGAAGAGAAACTGGAGATGATGTGGGAGAGTCACAACAGCATTATTACTGGTGAGTTACTGGCTGTTCCTTTCCCCTCAAATCCCCATGGTGGGTCTGTGTTTGAAGATTTTGCTCAAAGCCCCATACTCCTGAACTATGTGTTTGCTAACAAATGGGCAGACTGTGCTGGAACAGACTCTGCCTATCAGGAGGTACTGAAGAAATAGGTTTAAATGGATAAAATTGTCAGAAACCCTGCCTGTGGCTTGTACCTTAGCTTTTTAGGCTGTATTGTTTGTTTTATTTTGTTTCTTTGTTTGCTTATCTCCAAAGCTGATATGAAGAAAAGATGGAAACTGCCTCCTGAAGGTCAAGGTGAGACTGACCAACACCTGCGTGCTGGTATTCACCAGCAGTAATAAATCCCTGCTCACAGGTGCTGGAAGCCTCTTCAGAGAAACAACATTGCTGCAGGGGACAAACAACTAGTCCTGACCTTCTTTACACAGCCATTCTCTGGGAAAAGTTTCCCCTGAAGTCAATGTGCATTCTGCCTAGGTAAGGATTTTTACCTCAGACAGGAATGTTATCCCAATATGAACTCCAGGTTCATACCACCAAAATACAAAGAGCTTTGTGTGTGCATTGTGCTTTTCACCTCCAGATTTCTCGCCCACTATATCAATTTATTAAGGACTGTGAAAAACTTACTAGATCTCTCAAGCATCAAAGATCAAAGCTGCAGGGCACCTTTATTTTTCGCTATGAAGCATCCTCAAGAGTGGATGGGCATTGCATCCTTTAATACCACTTTAATACCACCAATTTCTTTAACACTTTGGAAACTACGGGATGTTCAAACTGATGCTCCCCAAGGCAGCAAACGAAAATCTCAAAATCTCAGTCAACCAGAATAAAAAAACGAGTAACCAACCAAAAAGCCATTAGTAACCATAACAAAGAAACAATCACTGAT